CCACACACTCTCTCATGGGAATAAGTTGGTACCACCTTTACGAGCAGTGCCTGGAGAATTGGGTAAAGAAACTCTGAAACTGTATCTTCCTCTGCAGCTCTGTGTTATAAACTGATAGGGACGGATACTCTTGCTTATTAAGTTTAACAAAAAAGGGCGAGCAGTATTTACACGGTTAACTTCTGCTGCGTGACTTCAGGGAGAAAGCATCGTTAAGAAATTAACATAAACCACAGGATGGTACAGAATTAATCATCGTGTCCTCTCGACATGCTGAGTATGTATTTTTTCTTAGTGAACCACTTTTTAATCCTGAGTCCAGTCAAACTTTTAAATTAAAAAACTATCGTCTCCATGGAAACACTGGATGATACGTCAAAGACCGTTGGATACATTAGCTCGTTGGTGAATTCCTCTTCCTCGGGTCGGATTCACTCGGTCAACGAGTTAATTTCATCGAGGGTGGTCGGGCAAAGTAGCAGAGAGAATTCCCATGATTCCCCACCAGAATCGACATCATCTTTTGTTATTGTTTTGGTAGAGAGCCTCCTGGTGGCAGAATCTACATACTGCACCTTTAAATATTATCCACTGAGTAATTTGTTGTTTCAGGCACACAACGCTAACAGACATTCTGGGAAACTGGAACTCTTGATGGTAATTGGGGACAAAAATAAATACGAGAAGACGATGATAATAAGCTCATTTGATTTAAAAGCTAAACATGTACATTTAAAGCATTAAGTCAGCGTTCTGATCCATTTACAAGGCTTACAAGCTTCATCCGGTTTTATGCTAATGTGTGCATGTATCATGAAAATATGAATCCCCAAAGGAGGATGCTTCTAGAGCTAATTTACTTATATAGCATGAGATTTTTGGGCTTCAGTGTTTAGCGACACAGTTCTATGTTTTGTGCACAGACAGATGGAGTGCTTCTCTCTTTGCTCCAAACACTGTTTTATATGGAAACTGGTGCATTTTCATGTTTGCAGCTTTTAAAATTGACTGCATGTAACGCTCATTGGTAATGCTACATAAATTCTGAGAGTCTGTTTGTTTTGCTGCTTAGGTTGTGTTTAGATGTAAACACCTTCAGAACCTGGAAACATTCCCACAAACTTCTCAGTCTCTCCCTCTCTCTGTCTCTCTCTCTCTCTCGCTCACCCACTCACATACACACAAACACACATACAGGATTTGCTGGATCAACACTTTTATAAGTTCACTAAATGTGGACCTCTGAAACAGACACACACCACACACACACACACACACACACACACACACACACACACACACACACACACACACACACACACACCACACACACACACACACACACACACACACACACAGAGGTCCCTCAGGGCAGGGCAAAACTAGATTTAATTTATTAAAGTTCGACCAATCAGGTTTAAGAAAGCTTTGTCACCGGGGAGGTCAGACAGATAGGTCCAGAGAGGATCAAAACACACACACACACACACACACACACACAGTGTCAGCAGTTTTGTCTCCTGCAGTCTGCTATCTGTGTTCATCGTCATCACTTGTTTACCTCTCTGTGCTGTGTTACAGTTGCTTCAGAGCTTCAGAGTTTCAAAGTTTGAGTTTTACGTTCAGCCTCTGTTGTTGGATTTTTTTTATGGGGGAAAGAGTGAATAAAGAAAAACAGATTAAATAAAAATAATATTGATGTGTGAATTGATATGGATGAATGGATGGATGGATGGAAGTTTGGATAAATAGATGGATGGGTGATTGGATTGGTAGATAGATGGATGATGGATGGATGGTTTGATGGATGTTTGGATGAAGGGATGGATGGATTGATAAATGATGGCTAAATCGATGAAAGGATGGATGGATGTTTGGATGAATGGATGGATGGATGGATTGATAAATGATGGATGGATGGATGGATGAATGTTTGGATGGATGTTTGGATGAATGGATGGATTGATAAATGGATGGATGGATGGATGATGGATTGATAAATGGATGGATGGATGGATGGTTGGATGAATGGATGGATTGATAAATGGATGGATGGATGGTTGGATGAATGGATGGATTGATAAATGGATGGATGGATGGTTGGATGAAGGGATGGATGGATGGATGGAGTCTCTCTGCATCTTGACTCTGATGACAAAAGAAACTAAAGTTTGTTCCATCTTCTCTCTGCTGTCAGACTTCACCCTGTAGTCTGTATTGAAATGAGTCACTCACTCATTATCATGACTCTTTCTGTGAATGCTGACTACATCTGAAGGAGTTTAAGCGGGGGACACACAAAGAGATAATCCGGCCAGTTGTTTCCCCTTTCGACAATCCCAAGCAAAGTCACAATTTTTTAATAGTTCAAAAGATTTCGCTTGCCAGATTTCCCTGTGATGTAAGGTGTGTCTAGAGTGATCTGATCCACTTTGAAGGACATTTGGGCTGTGCCGATTGCAAATCGAAACGATTTCAACATGTTCAATGTTAACAATGCGATTTCTTGTTTTCTGATGGGGAACCTGGAGGAGAGCTGAGTCATGTGGAACAAAACAGTAGCGGATTGGAAAGCAAGCTTGGTGAAGAAGGAAGCCCAACAACCAATCCATAGTTTAACTTCTTTATTTGTGAATTTTCAGTTAAATAAGTTACAAAAACCATCGCAATGTCTTCCTGCCCGTTGTGCGCCATGTTTGTTTACTCTGAAAGTCATGATTGAGAGTAACTGCGGTCTGTCTCCAGAGCGTGCCAACAGCAGCTCCGCTCCGTTTCAAATACGCTCTGATGCAAGCATGCATCAAGCGGAGCAGAGCAGATCGTTCCTGAATTTTCTTGTTTTTTTCTTTATTTTATATTATTCTATCTTTATTTTTTTCTTTTATGTTTCATATGTTGATTCTTTTTCAGATCTCCTTCTTTTCTGCGTCGCTCCCTTCAGATCCATCCGTCCGTCTGTCTCCTCGTCTCCTCGTCTCTCCGGCATGTCGCTGAAGGTCCAGACCAGCAATGTGACCAACAAAACAGATCCCAAGTCCATAAACTCCCGGGTTTTTATCGGTAACCTGAACACAGCCGTGGTGAAGAAGTCGGACGTGGAGACCATCTTCTCGAAGTATGGTCGGGTGCTTGGCTGCTCCGTGCACAAAGGTTACGCCTTCGTCCAGTACGCCAGCGAGAGGCACGCCAGAGGGGCGGTGATCGGCGAGAATGGCAGGGTGCTGGCCGGACAGACGCTGGGTGAGTCCTCGGCAACCATTTGCATGTCATACATCGGACCTAGATTTTTTTTTAAGCTCGTTGAAAGTCAAACAGATGAATTCAGAGGTATCATAGAAATTACAAATATACCAGGTATTATAAGGGGCTGTCTAATTTACTCCGATGTGTCATTTTCTTTTTGTTGTTTAATCATTTGGTTTCGGCTGCACGGTGCTGCATTGGTTAGCGCTGTCGCCTCACAGCGAGGAGGTTCCTGGTTCCCCATCCCCATCTCTCTGTGTGGAGTCTGCATGTTCTCCCATGTGTGGGTTCTCTCCGGGTACTCCGGCTTCCTCCCACAGTCCAAAGACATGCTCGTGAGGTTAACTGCTGACTCTAAATTGTCCAAAGGTGTGAATGTGAGTGTGGCTGGTTGTCTGTCTCTATATGTCAGCCCTGTGATTGGCAGGTGAACAGTCCAGGGTGTAACCCCGCCTCTCGCCCAATTACAGCTGGGATCGGCTCCAGCCCCCCATGACAATAGATAATGGATGGCTCTGCTTGTAAACAGAGTCCTAAAACCAGCTGTCTGATGGGTCAATATGTGTGTGTGTGTGTGTGTGTGTGTGTGTGTGTGTGTGTGTGTGTGTGTGTGTGTGTGTGTGTGTGTGTGTGTGTGTGTGTGTGTGTGTGTGTGTTTGTGTGTGGACTAACCCACGGTCATGAAGGCAGGGGTCAATATCAGGTTTGGTTAGATGAAGGTGTGTGTCATTCTGCCATTTCCAGAGTTTTGGATCACTGCCCCAAACACACAAACACACAAACACACACACACACATACACACACACACACACACACACACACACACACACACACACACACACACACACACACACACACACTCTCTCTCTCTTTCTCCTTCACGGTGAAGTAAACAGGCTTGAATCTTCAGCCTCTGGCTTCTGAAAAATCACTTTCTCTTTTCATCCCTCCATCCTTTTATCATCCTCACTTCTTCATCTGCTTCTCCTCATCTTCAAACACTTTCAAAATCACAACCTCGGAACACTTCAGCAATCATCCACTGTCATCGAAAGGACGGGAATGTCTCTGTTATCCCGGTGAAGCCAGAGGTTAGCGTTACATCATTTACAGGCAAGGTTTCCTTTTTTTCTGTGGGGAGTTTAGTCTGCAAAGAAACACGGTCAATTATTTGTTCATAACCCCCTGGTGCGGCGCCCCTTCATCTGTTGAGTCTCAGTTCAAAGATAGGGTAGAAGCTATACAGCGGCTTCATTCCGGCTCACTTCAGCGGTTTGAGCCCGAAAGAGAAACTAAAGTGACTTCAGAGTCGCATACATTCTGGCTACTTAGACCGAGGTCGCATTGCAACAGTGTGATAGAGTATGAATGTGGCCCTAATCTGACTGGAAAAGGTCAGATTTCATGTGATCTGGGATCTGGCCTGGGTGAACAGGTGGCCTAGCGGTTAGCTCACGGTCCATGTACGGAGGCTATAGTCCTTCAGCTGGGCGGCCCATGGTCGAATCCGATATTCCCCACCCTCTCTCTCTCCCTGTTTTCTTGCTCAATCCTCTGTCCTATCACATAAAGGCAAAAAGCCCCAAAACATCTTTTTATTAAATCAGACGGTCTGATTCACCAAGAAGGAAATGCGACAGCTTAATGCTCCAAAAGTTGCACATGTCTGCTTAGTCTTAAAGTCTAATTCACAAACAAATAGATGTCTCATGATAGTCAGGCACAGACACGCCCATAGTGTTGTCGTGCTCCGTGCAGTTTGCTCTTGTTTTGGGTCTGAATGTGGGGAGAAGTTTTTCTGCACCTTCACTCTGTGAGGATCTGAGCTCTCGTTCACATTCAGCTGAATGTTGGCCACATTGACGATGAGCTCGGAGGGGAGGGGAGGCAGACTTGTTTGTCTGATCACTGGAAAGCTTAAGCATGGGTGCAGCTACCACCTTTACACACCTTTTTTTTTTTTTGCTCCACTCTAACAGCTCCAGGCTGTTGGCGCCGGTTTTGTGTATTTGAGGCTTTTTGCAATGAGGCCTATTTCTATAGACAGGCGGCATTTTCCCCATAATGACTGCATAATGGTTCTTTTAAATATGCACAAACAGAACCGACACACAGAGACGCTGTTTGCTCTGCAGCTTGGATTAGGATGCATTTAACCCTTTGTGTGTGTGTATGTGTGTGTGTGTGTGAGTTAGCTGGGTCTTTGTACAGGTTTAGCAGAACTTGGGGCGACAATAGCACAGTCCGTATGGGACCTGGGTTGGGAACTGTAGGGTCACCGGTCCCGATGCGAACGAAGTTGGTCTGGTAGTTAGAGAGTTGCCAGGGCACTTCCTGAACTCCGCCCTTGAGCAAGGCGCCGAACCCTCAAATGCTCTGGTTTGCTCCCTGAGTAGCAGTGCGTAGCAGCCCACTCTCGTCTAATGCATGTCCACAGGTCCTGCTCGTGAATGTGTGGGAAGCATGTCACTAAATAACAGAGTCTAAATTCAGAATTTTCCTCAGGGATTATTGAAGTATATACAACACAAACAGAATCAGGCCCTGAATGTAGTCGTTCCACAGTAGAATAAAAACATGCAATGATGAGTGGAGTATCAAACCGGGTCGTCGTGATCAGCATCCAGAAGCGTGCTGGTAGAGACTTCAGCCCCAGAGATCCTTCACACGATGAGGACTTCACAGAATGGATGTGAGGATGAATCACAGGTTGTTTCCTTTTGTGAGCACAGAGCAGCTTTTAACTTTACACCCACGTGTAGCGAGCAGGTGGATACACGCAAACAAGTGAGTCCTTACACGCTGCTGAATAAATCAACATAAAAGTAGAAGCTTCTGTTCTCCTGTAATTCATGACAGCAGCTCTCCTTTTTGTGTTTTTTTTTTTACAGTTTGAATTGCGTTTTTTTGTGTTTTTGTTTATAGTGTTACATGTTTACGTATCCTGCAGGGGAATGACATCATGATGTAATTCAAACTGGTTTCTGTTAACAGAGTACAAAGGTCTTCTCAGTTTTCTAGTTGGTGTTGAGATTGAAACTTTCCTGCTCTTTGTGTGAACACTGAATGTCTTTTAAAGATCGTTCCAAGTGCATCCAGAGAGGAGACACTAAACTGAGTGTGAGACAGAAATCAACATTTCTGACCTGATTCCACTTAACATGCTTTTTCAAATCTCTGGTTTGCTTCAGCCCAAGTGAGCGAGACACGATTATCCCTGGTTTCTGACTCCACTGTCCTGTCTCTGAAATAAAAGCATAACAAAAAAACTGTTCCCAGTGAACAGCTGACTGTACCAACGACATCTGCAAAATAGCTCAACAGCTCCCTCTAGTGGACTTTATGAGGCCGTACATGATCCCTAATTTTTACAGCTTTAATTTATATTTTTATTTTTTTACAGGGACATTGCATATTAATAAACATTTCTGTAAATTTGCCAGAGTTAGCCAAAAGCTTAATTTTCATCTGTTGTCGCTGGCCAGATTTTATAAAAGGCTCCCCAAAAAAAGAAAAACGAATTCAAACATCGCTAAAAGCTATAAATAGAAATATCATGACAGTAATTAAGCAGAAAGGTAAGCAGCCATGCAGGATACACATAAAGCAGCATTTGGTTAATATAAAAAAAATATATCATGCAGGACAGACATGGAGCATCATTGAGCAGACAAAACAAATATAACATAATATCAAACACCACTCATTTTCCAAAATCAAGATAAATGAAGTGAGTAATTATTTTAAGACACATGGACACATCAGGCAGATATTTTATAGTTATTTAAATGAAGTAAAGTCTCTTTTTTGAAACAGAAGAATAAAGCTGACTTTATACTCTGAAGTAAAAGTTGAAAATTGTGATATTTACTGGTAAGATGTGAAGTGGGAAGTTTTGTTTTTCATTGTTCATTTACTCAAGTTTCTAAATATTTCAAGTCAGGTTTCCGGTAGCTCTGATATCCAGCGTTCATTTCTTTTGACCTGTTGTGGATGTTTTTGATGGCGTTGCTCTCCTCTGCTCGCTCTCTCTTCAGATATCAACATGGCCGGAGAGCCGAAGCCAACCAGATCCAAAGGCCTGAAGAGATCAGCAGCTTCCCTCTACAGGTACACGCCCACATCTGTGATCAAAATGTTTTGATTAGTCAGCGTGTCACTCAGCCCGTTTGTCTCATTTTGAGCATCGCTTCAGGTTGAATGTTTTAAAGGCCAAAGTTCAGCTGCGTAAAATTCAATAACTTTCAACTTCAGATGGTCCCTGATGTAAAATATTTCCCTCAGCTGGGGACTCCGTCGAGGAGGGGGCCGCCGCAGAGGGTCTCTCGGTTTTGTTTACACTAAGGCTTTCACAGTAGTCCCTGTCATAATACCGCACATGTGCTCTTCATTTAGCATGGTTACGTTTTACCCACATCTTTAACATCACCCGACAGTATATTTGACAGTGTTAAATAGCTTCTCAAAAATGTGCAAACAAAGAAAACGGAGAGGGCCAAACCGGAACAAAGATAAGAATGTTTGTTGTCCTCAATGAATCCACATCGTCCAAGCTAACCTCCAACCTGCCATAACAAATCAGCACAGGCAGAGGGAGCGCAGGGAAGCAACTGACTGAAAATAAATGTGAGAAATTGACGTTGCTGATTGTGTCCAGCGGGGATCCCCCCCGCCCCGAAAATGCCTCCTGGTTATTTCCTCCTTCCACTTCAATCAGCGTAAACTCTCCCACTGTTCTGTGTTTAAAAAATTATCTCACTTTGCTAAGGACCTTCTGGGAATGCATAAGGGAACAGTTAGCTGCGGGCAAACACTTCCACATCAAAGGGGTTTCACTTACAGCATCCTTAAGGAATCCATATGGACACATAGTCAGCGAGCGCAGCACACGAGACGTTAGGAGCGACTTCAAGCGAGGTGGATTTATGCATCCAGACGCAGGATCTAAATTAGAAGCCGACAAGAGAATTTACACAAACTAATGTGTCGACTAGAAAAAAAACCTGCAGAGTAACTCCTCCTGTGGGACTCCAATCTGTATAAATCTGAGATATCAAAACCATGTATGGTTAATCACCTGCTGAAGACAGTGGAGGCTGAGACCCTGAAGTAAAAGTTTCAAGGTTTTAGGCCGCTGTGTGACCAACACTGCTGCGTTACTTTTTGCATGTTTCATATTTGAGATAGTTTTTTACCCGATCAGACACGGAGCGAGGAGGATGTGAGTACATGACACGATCTGAAGGCGGTTAAAAATACATTTTGGAAAAGAGCGCCGGTGACGTCAACAGCGCCTTTCTGAAAAATGTTGAAAGATTTTAAACTTCACTGCTCGGAGCAGCCGCACAAATAGGCGGAGCGTGGAGCGCTGGTGGCGCAGTATGGAGGCTTTGAACGTGGCGGCCCACGTTCAATTCCCACCTGTGGCTCCTTTCCCGCATGTAATTTCCCTCTCTCTCTCTCTCTCCCTGATTTCTGATCTATCTACTGTCCTATCCCTCCATTAAAGGCACAAAAAGCCCAAAAATAAATGCTCAAAAAAGGCGGAGCGCTGGAAAAAAAAAACGCTGGGCGCTGCGTTTTTTGTCCAGGCGGCCACGCTCTCTATACTCGTTGAAAACTATTTTAAAGAGACGCTCAGAAAAAAAACACAGGGCCTAATAAGATTTAAATCTAAATCCTTGAATGAGTAAAAGCACATACAGGAAATAAAGAAGCATTCCTTGCCTTGATTTCATTTATTTCATTCGACTTATGTTTCACTTTCTGCAGCGTCAGGAGCTGCTGAGTCCCTCACCACACACACTCATTTCCAGTAAACATCCCATCTGGGTCATCTGAGTTAATGTTTATTGATTTTCATTACGGATTTTATTACGGAGCATTATTTATTTCAACATGGTCTGCAGCTACGGAACAAGAAGTCTTCATGTTTTTCTAACTACGCCTGTCCTTGCTGTTGCTTAACCAGAGCATGTGCAGTAAAAGTTCATGCACGCTAACAGCGATAGTAAAATGTGTCAGGTTACATTCACTTTAGTGCACATCATGCTGCAGAATCCACTTTGGGTTGCCAGGTTTTCTTTTGTCGCTCGTTTTTTATTTCTCCCCGTCCGTCTCCTGGGGTGAGGTGACGTACGCTGCGGTTTCTTTTCTCTCCGCCAGACAGTTTGGGAAAGGAAACCGGATAAACGTCCCATATGCTGTTTTAAATGTGTTTTCATGCTCGTATTCAGGCCTCATATATGTCTATTGTTCATCAGTCACTCTCCTGTGTCGTTCTTTTCTTCCACAGTGGATATGAGCTGGACTACGATTACTACAGAGAAGACTTCTATGACAGGCAAGAGGACACACACTCCGGCACCTGTGTTAAGTCTTAAATTCTAGATACGGTTGAGATTGAACAGAGTGGCAGAGTTTGCATGATATTTACAAAAGTTAGTGAGGAAATTAACGGAATGGATAAATAAATCAGAGCCCAGACAGGTTTGTCCATTTGCAGGATGAAGAGGATCAGGGACAAGATGGACAATTCTTTAGGGAAGGTCAGGGAGTTAGAGAGGTTTGTGGAGTGGGGGAGGGGGGGGAGGGCAGCAGCTGGATCTCTGCAGGTGCTTGTATGTGAATATGTGTGTGTGTCCATGTGTGTATTTGTTAAATTGTGTGTGCAGGCATAACAT